TCCTTTCCAATGCAATCTTGCAAAACCACTTCAGATCGCCTTTAGCTGCAGCTACAGCAAAGCAGAAATGCTTGTGTCCATGCCTGGGACCCAAGGTGATTCCTTCAAAGAAGAGTTGTTTCAAACCCTGGCTCATCAATTCCAGCAAGTCCGGGAGGACCTGTGGATATGTGCCATGAACCCAAGAAGGTATCACAAAGAGACACCAATGCTGCATGAAGGACAAACCCTTCTGGTTCGTCCACTGGTCCTTGAGAGTAGACAGCGTGCTGCGGCTCAACTTCTTGTCAACGTGGTTGTACTTCTGCGTGTGCCTAGCTGGTGGGTTGCACTCACACTGGTGTCCACGGCCATCCCTTTTGCGTTTTTTGTTCACAGCTGTTTGAACTCCTATAGTTGCTTCAAGGCTGACGACGCAGGTGTTTCCTCGACGCTTTCCTCTGCCTTCATCCCCATGCCAGCATAATGGTATAACTGACTGCAGATTGTCGCAATGCTCCTGGAACACTGCATGGTCACCATGCGAAAGCTGAAAAGCTTGCCAGAAGGCATGGAGGTTTTCAGCTATTTCCTTTTGACATTGTAAGCCACCCACCAACAGGTCCAAGTGGTTTTCTAGCAAAGAAGTCATCAAATCCACCGGGCATATGTAAGTCATGGGGATAACATCACCAGAATTGGTTACGTAGTCGTAGGTCTCCAACGGGACTTTCAATCCAACATGATTTCGATCAAAACCTCGCCACAACGTTCTTGAACAATTTCTTTCCCAGTTGGAATTTGTTTCCGCCCTTGATGCTTCTCTGGCCGACCCGTAGCCCCGGCGGATGGCTTCCGCGGTCACACATGGTACCTGGGCAGCTGTTTGGAGATGGAATTGGGAAAGAGAACAAGTTGACCAATTTGCACTCATGTCATCATGTTAATGTTCCCAATCAGATGTTTGGGAATTTCACAGGTGTAAACATCTTTGTTTTTTAAAGACCCAAAAAGGATACTACCACCATTCTCTTTTCATTGGGCCCAGCTCAACAGAGTTGCAGTAAATCATCTGTGATCTAAGTTAGGAACCCCATCTGCAACGGCGTCTGCAAGTGCAGCAGTGCCATCATCCAAGTTTTGCTCCTTTGGCAGACCTGGCTCATGGGACCACAGACCCCATTCAAACTAATTTTGTGCCTATGGTCTAGTGTTTGGGTGGGCTATGGGGTTCTCAAGTTCCCAAATTATATAAACCCCATGTCCCAACCAAAGCAGCAACAAAATGTTTGCCATCAATCGTTTGATCAGTTGAGAAGCCATGTTTTTTTCGCTGTTCGGAATCACTCAGCTCTTCCAAGGCCCTGTGGTTCCCACAAGGTTCTCCCAAACTGTTCTTTCCATGATCGAAGATCAAGATCAAAAGGATTTGCCCCCGCTACGCATGCGGGTTGTGCTGAATCTCGCACCTGTTTTAAATAAAACAGGTGAGCCCCAAAAGGCAAATCCAAAGGAGGTTTCATGACTGTAATTTTGGGGACGGAATAGAGGCTATCTTGTTGATATTCGTGTGCAGTACAAGATTTTGTCAATTAATTACCATGGGACCATTTTGTGGGTAAATTGTGATCAACCAAAGGACATCCTCCCCCTTGGAATTGCCAACCAGTTTTCACAAAAGCTGAGCATTGGGTCGAAGGTTCAACCAACGTAGGAACTAACTCTTACTTTTGGCTGCAGCCTTCGCTTTTGCTTTGGCCTTGGCTTTGGCCTCTGCACTGCGATGACTAGCACGCCTTCTACTTGGTTTTTTTGGCTTCTCAGGCTTCGGAAGAACTGGCCTGACAGCCGGCCATGCAGTTGCAGGGTGTTGTGGGAGGGCCCAGTGACTGGTGATTGCGAGAGATTGCTGTGTAAGATTTCCCCTGCCTCATTCTACCCTCAAGGCTCAGGGCTTCCACGGCCCTAAGCGTAAAAAAACATGGCAAGGGTTGCAATCAAAGGAATGTCAATTCTCAAGTTGGGTGTTTTCTCCCAAGGGTCAGGCTTAACCCTGGCAATCTGATACAACTCGCAAAGCGCTGCTTCAGACCTCATGGAACTGGGAGTAGAGCATCAAAAAAATCATTATGGACTGTGGTTCTGATTTGGGGCTTGTTATTTTTGAGGGAATGGCTCTTTGGTGAATCCATCCACCACCCCAGAGTTGTACTTCTCCTCAAGCGATGCCCCACACTCGTTCAGCTGGGTCATGACAAGCTCGATCTTGGTTTTCATCCTTATTCAGGTAGATGCAGTATGTCAAATTGAAGTTTGCAAAGGGTCTGATACAACAGTTAAAAGTTAGGCTAAAAGTCAACTTCTGTAGATCTGACAACTCATCGGCTGCAATGAAGCGGTCCAGGTTTGTCTGAAGCTTCGTCGCCCTCTTTGTGAGGCAATTCCTCGGGCTGATAGCTGGAGTGGGGGCAAGTGGCAGGGAAAGAAAGATGCCCAAACAATAGAACTACAACAAATTCAACATGGTACATATTTCCAAATAAGATTCATCATCTTAAGGGCCACAGAGCTAGGAAGTTGGTCTAACTCTAACTCCGGAACTCCAGCTCTCTTGCGCTGGACGGCGGCATTGTCATTTGCTGCATCTTGTTCGGGGTCAACTGTTTCAGAATCATCATCATCACTGTCTTCATCACCTGCATGTAAGATATCAACCCGTTATAAAGTTACTTTGGGAACTTTCATCGTCCGACCAAAACGAACTTCCCCCTCAAATATTCTTCAATGGTTTTGGACTGCTAATTGTTTGGGTGAAATTTGCTGGGGCCACCAATTACCAAACAACATGCTTTTTGAAACCAAGCCTGGCTCTCGATCAGGAGCAGGGGCTTCTTTTTTAGGGACTTTGGAAACTTTGGACCCTGAATTCTCAATACTCCGTTTCTTTGGCACCTCTGCATCTTCCCCCACAGGCTCTCCTTGGTGGAAGGGCCCAAGCGCTGTTGACTGAAGGCACTCTGAGCTGTAGTCGCTCACATTTGGTGGTGATTGGTTCCACTGGATGCGTCTGTTCATCTCGATTTGGCTCCGCTGCCTCATTTGGGATTTGAAGATTGGGTTAGATTGTGAAAGAGGCGATGGGTTGAATGACTGGGAATAGATATATTTGTGTGTACATACTTCTGCATATATTGATTCAATATTTAGGTTGTATATTATGTATACACTATTTACAATATAGTTGTGGTAGTAAGATTAAAAAAAAAAGCTACAAATCGATTTCCTATACATCATGAATATATTATTGGATGTGTACACATATGGAATTTATAAAATATGTATTATTGTAAACTATGTTATAGATATGATATTATGTTTTAATTGTGGATATGTGCCAAATGTTCATATAATAAGCTATCTATAACATGTTGAAAGATATATCAACTAATATGGCTACAGGCCATACAAACAAGAGAGAGCGGTCAGGGTTGCACTATATCAATCGCGGTTCCTACCTACCCTACTTTGCATTGTTTTGGTTTCTCCCATAGATTTAGTGTATCCCAAAAAGAGGTATCGGGGATCCCTAGGATATATATATATTTTTTCCATGCCATATTTGTTCCATCAAAACCCAATGCATGGATGAACAGGGAATATTGCTGCCCAGTGTCTTCCTTGCTGTTTTAATTGCCATCTCACACCAGTACAGCGTCACCTTCTCGTACTTGTCCTTCCTTCAGAATCGAAAACAATTGGGCCTTGATTTGGCTGAATTTGTTTCTTGCACATATGGGGCTAAAAACGCATTGGGTTAAAGCAACAATGGTTCAATTACAAACCTTTACCTGTTATCTATGTGGAAAACAGTATTGAACCATCCCACCGAAGTTGTCCTCATCAACGTTCGAGGCGATTTTCGAGCGTCCGCTTTGATGGCCGCAATCTTTGTCCTGAAGGCATCCAAAGACCAGGGAGACCGGGGCTGGGCCTTCAAGGGGTAACAAACAACAAGTATTGTTGGTTTTTATGGCTGCTAAGTAGCTCAGAAAATCCTTTGTCTTCCCTCATAGCTTTCTCAGAAAGGAATTCACCCTCGACCGAGAGATCGCTTTCAAGCATATCTGATCGGATCAAAGCACATTCTTCAGGGAATCTGCACCAAGAGATGCATGAGAAATTATAAATCATTTTGGGGTTCCCACAGCATGATGTCAAATTTCAATATAGTGCAATACCCCATTTTCTACAAAACCTGTCCTTATTGAAACCGACGCTTTGAAACACTTGCTCCAGGGAACGCCTCCCCTTTTTTGTTTTCCATTGCTGAACAATTTCTGCCGAAACTTTGAACTCCCCCTTCACATTTGGGGTAAAAAGACGCCTCAGCCGGCCCTCCACCGCATCAGCACTGATGCGCAACTGGCCGGGCTTGGGTTTCTCAATGGTTGTGTCTCTAATATCAGGTACTTCAGTCAGCCAATCATCTCCCACCAACCTTGCTTGACGGCAAGGTGTTGGAGCTGGCCGTGACGGTGGTGGGACTGTGCCAACCTTAGGTGGATATGTTGGATGCCCCTGGTGCATTCAGGTGGCTAAAACAAATAAGTTGGCTAAGAAAAGGCAATGAATATCCCACCTAAATTTCTTAGGGTTCTTTCATGATAGATAGCGATTGCTGACCAGGTAGGCAAGAAACATCTGGACATGGAGTTGATGTCACATCTCGACATGGGGTTGATGTGAAATTATCTGCCACATCATGCATACCCTCCTCCAAAATTGGTGATCCAGGCAAGGTCTCGTCATCCCAAACCGAATAAGGATCCATGGTGGCATCACCAACATAGGGATCCGTAGCCACACAGCTGACCTTGGATAAGCATTCCTTTCCCTACCCAAAATGATTTATCATTTCTGAAAAGAAAAAATATATATATATATTTGATCCTTTTTTGGGCCATGATTATCATTGTATAAATACTGTAACCCAAAATCAAAACAGTGAGGGATAATCAGAATCACAAACTGGAATTGAATTTGGATGGAGACACATCAGAACTGAAGCTAAGATGTTCTCGCAACTCAGCTTCATCTAGATCTCCCCAATCAAAGATGCTCTGAGACCCAGGATTCGTGTCTTTGGGGACATCCGTTGAACTTTTACCTCCTTGATTTTCCACAGGTTCGCTAGGCACCCTAAGCTCCAAAGGATTACCAACTTCGGTGTTGAGGTCTGGCACCACCGGAGAAGCCTTTGCTTCGTCCAAGTCTGCCAGCTGCTGCTGGAGAACCTGGGCTAATTAACCGGTGGTTTGGACAGGGGAATATATAGGGTAGGTGAGGCTGATTGGAAACCTAAGCTTAGGGAAAATAAACAACAAAACATTTCTCAAACCATAGTTAAGAAACTGCATACTCATGCAACAGGGACTCATCCTCTTCTGTTTTTACAAGAAGGCCATTCGGCTGTTGCACCACTGTTTTCATCCCTCCAACAAGGGTCTCAGAAGACCAAATGGAGCTACGAAGTTTGGCTAGTTCAGCCATTGGGATGGAAGCGGACCACTGACTTGGACCCAAATACTGATTGTTCAGGAAGCTATGAGGCGTATACACTAACATTATAAGTCATTATTGAAGTAAGTCTGGGTGAGTGTATCAATTGAAGATGCTTAAAGCGTTGTCCAAAATCCAACAAGTATTTCCAAGCACTGCTGTTGGATCATCATGTGGATGAGGGACGCCCTACCATCAACATGGGTGAAACATTAAATTGTATACTTGGTCATTTTTCCCCACGAGGTTCAAACGAGATTCAAACATCTTGGCAGTTCAGCGCCAATCTATGACGCAGAGAAGAGATTTCATGAATTTTCATGACCACTTAATGACAAGACAGGAGTGCACCTCTGGTACCAAAAAATTGAAAAAAACGCTCAAAAAAAAAACGCTTTTTCGACGGGAAAAAACGCTTTTTCGACGGGAAAAAACGCTTTTTCAAAAAATTGTAAAATCACTAATTTTCCCCCAAATTTTGGAAAATGCAGATCAAATCCCCAAAGTTTGGAAAGTGCAGATCAAATCCCCAAAGTTTGGAAATTGAAGGGTCCACAGCATTTCTTCCGGGTTGAAAAGATAATAGGGTGTTATCCTTTTCTTCAGGGGCACTCCTGTCCCAACAGCCATTCCAAGGTGGCACATTGAATTTAAATGAATTTTGCCCATTCAGATCATTCCCTATTGGAAACACATCTGCCATTCCTTTGGAAGGGCCAAATATTTCGACCGTGCCAAATACTCAACAACCTCTCCCAGCTCCGCTTCTGCATCGTCTCCCTGAGGTGAGTTCTGCACAATGTGGCGCAGCTCTGAGAAGCTGTCAACCTTTGCCGGCACAGCAGCTGGGCGTTAAGACTTAGCCAGGTGTGTCTTGTAATAGTGGGTTCCAAATATTTGGAAATAGAAAAGAATAGAAATTCATACAGAAACCATTTCCTTAAAGATACCCACAAAAGGCAAGGGGCTTCAACTTTCAGCGGCGGGGGATTTTGCACCACATGAGGAAATAGGCGCACCATTTTGGAAGCAAATGGCGCTGTGTATTCCCTTAGATGGCGAATGACCTGGTTCCTTTAAAATTGTTCTATTGTTTTGGGTTTCCACCGGTACCAAATCCCACAAAATAATATTATTAGTGGAGAGCATATCACCAGAAAAAAACAACCCAAAACTACCCAATGTCAGTGTCTTAGGGGAAAATGGGAAGCCATCAGGAAAGCTTTGCAACAAAGTTTCTGTGATTTCTTGAGGGTCGAATTGCCAGCGAAACGTTTCTTCCCTTTAGAATCTTGGTACCTTTTGGTTGTTCTTTTGGCAGTACGCTTCTTGAAACCCCGGACCGGTCCCTTGTCCAAAGCCCCCAGGGCCAAACTGTTTGTGACTATCATCGTAGGCTTCATCGAAGGTGAAGAGTAATGCCGCATCCAAAACTTGATGTGGTAAACCTTAGGAGTTGGCAGGGACTGCTGCTGCAGTTTTTGGGTGTCAGCTTTCAAAGAGGATGGTGTCAACTCCATTCCATAAGTTTCAATTGTCCGATTGCCACCAAAAGATTTACATCGTAATGTGGAATTGTTCCTAGACACTTTTTTCTGGAATGGGGCAATAATGAATATTCCCACAACATTGCCTTCCTATAGTAAGATGGAAAAATCTGACCAACAAGCACCAACATGGGTTGAACAGGAATTTCACAAACAATACCAAAATATGTTTCTCTCTACGTGGTCATTCCCAAAACAGTAGTCTTCAACCCCTGTTGGCAATGCTAACTTGGAAGAAGATAACTTTTCCATAGGCCTTTTGGATCAAACGCATAGCCCACCTCATCCAAGGATGCAGTAATAGGCACGAACTACCTGGGTTTTCCACCATCCAATGCTGGTCCAAACATTGGAGAAGTATCACCAGTAGAGCTACCCTGCCAGGGAATCAAAACAATTCCAATCCCAACAAAAGTTGTAATGTTGAAGAGACCCCCTACTCCATGTTACATCTTCCCGTTGGGGATTGAAAGAAATAGACGACCATGTAGGGTTACCAGCCTTGCTACCATTCGATTTGCCCCCCTCACTGATGGCAAATTGCAATCACCCAAGGGCGTCAAGATGTCACGCTGTGAGGTGTGCAGGTTAACCGCAGACCATGTGCTACACACCACTGCAATGATAAATAATGCTTCTTGGTGGCGCCCGCAGAGGCACAATGCCACTGCAAGCCTCATAGCCGAAGCAGGTCCCCAACCACTAAATGATACTAGCTATGGATCCTGAAAGGTTGGGTTCCAAGTCTTTGGTTTGTTTCAAGAAACTTGTGGGATATTTTTCATAGGGTTCAACAGATACTTGAAACTTATAATCATAGGCCAAATCATGAGGGATAACTATTCTCAAAAGCTGATGATTCTTTTCCAAACCCAGTCTCGCAAAGCCTGCAGCCCCATTGAGGTCCATAGAACTCCGTCTTTGTTGACCCCTTTTGAAAGCGCCTGGATCCCCAGTCACTGGCTTGTAGATGATGTCGTATGACCTCACCCTTAATCCCATCCAGGAGGCCAACCGGCTTACCCGAGCCTTTCCACTGAAGAACTCAACTAGGTCGAGGTCTTCCATGAGATCTTGTTCCCAAAAGGGTACGCTCAGAAAGGATGCCAAAACGATGATTTGGAGGAATGCCTCGGCCCATTGGCTTAGCTATACCATCCCTTTTCAAATTCATGTGAGAGGTGGCCCAGGATTAGTGGCTCGATCCAGGTAAAAAAGAATGTGGTGGAATGAATCTTGAACAATAGACATCAATACAGAAACAGGACTAAACAGGGAATGCTCGATAGCTTGTAAGAAAAATGGGAATTGCCCTTAAAAGATCTTAGAGGTACATATTCGATCCTTGTTACACAGCTGTTTGGGATAAGATTCCTTGGGGACCCCCATCACAGCCATGCGCCGCAAAGCAAGGTCCACTTGCGGCTTCATTGCGAGTGCGGCCCGGGTCAGGCCACAGCCGATACGGGAGGATACTGCTGGCAAGATCTGAAAATCCAGGATGGCAGCATCACAAGAAACATGTCCATCTGTTGGGCGGCACATGGATCTTGAACATTAACTGATAGATAGTGACAGCCGGCCCCTATAATCCCATGCCAGCTGAGCCTTCAAAGTAGCCATATTTGGCAAATGAACTCTGGCCACGCCGAAACTTTTTCATGGTCCTGCGGAAGCCAGGGTTGAATCTATAGTATGAAGCTAAATAGGGGAAAAGTCTTTCAATTCTCCGCCTACATAAATCATTGTATAAATCAACTTTGTTTTGAATCCTCGTCGAACATTCAGACGCCAAGCTGGGTCAAGAACGAACTTGGAAACTTGGGGCAGCTCCAATGCTATTTTTTTTCCACCGGACACAGGTGGGCTTCAATCGCCGCAAGCAACATGGAAACTCTACTGCCAGGACTTGGGTCATGGCATGCTTCAAAGGTTGTGGTCAAAGTTTTCTTCCCCTAAGATAAAGCTCCGGCACCACTAGGAAACAACAATTTCGTAATCTGTTCACGTCCTGTTATGTTCAAAGAGCATGGCGCCGACATGTGGCTAAAATCATTGAGAAATAGTGGGCACCACCCCGAAAATTATATATGTTGGGAGTTGCCAACATATCAGTGCTGCACTACCACCCATAGCAAAAGCCACTGGAAACGCTCAAGAGGTCTACGCTGCATCGATGATCTTGGTACCTGTAGCAGTAGCAGCATTGCACATAATGTATCAGATATTGGGGTCTTGTCAACTGAAAAAGTTATAACCGAATTTGGGGGCATTTTGAAACCAGTTTTCATCCTGAAAGGTCCTGAATATAATTGTTCTAATGTTAATTTCTTGTTGTCCAACCTACTGGGGAAAGAATACCAAAGATATATTTACTTAAGTGTGCCTAGATGCGCACGAAATCCAAGCTCAAGAACTTCTCCACCTCGAGCTCTGCTGCTGCAATGAGATCTTCCTGTTTGCAACTGCCCTTGTCCAAGTTCTTGTACTTGAATGCATTGGAGCATTGCTTGAACCATGGGGGTTGGAACGAAGATGGGCTCCGGAATTTTTTCGACAAACACTGGTCGAACACATGGCGAATCGCATTGAATTTTGCCAAAGCATTGGCCTCCGTGGGAATCCACCTCCCCGCCCAAGTCTTTGACGTCTTGTTTTCCAAAGCCTCAGGCTCTGAATTCTTCTTCTCAATCTCCTTGTCCTTCTCGGTCTCTTTGGGCTTGGATGCGCGTCTGCGCGTGGGGGCTTTGTCCACATTGTCCTTCTCGGTCTCTTTGGGCTTGGATGCGCGTCTGCGCTTGGGGGCTTTGTCCACCTTGTCCTTCTCGGTCTCCTTGGGCTTGGATGCGCGTCTGCGCTTGGGGGCTTTCTCCTCAGCTGCGTCTTCCTCCTTCTCAATGTCCTTTGTCTCCTTGTCCTTCTCGGTCTCCTTGGGCTTGGATGCGCGTCTGCGCTTGGGGGCTTTCTCCTCAGCTGCGTCTTCCTCCTTCTCAATGTCCTTTGTCTCCTTGTCCTTCTCGGTCTCCTTGGGCTTGGATGCGCGTCTGCGCTTGGGGGCTTTCTCCTCAGCTGCGTCTTCCTCCTTCTCAATGTCCTTTGTCTCCTTGTCCTTCTCGGTCTCTTTGGGCTTGGATGCGCATCTCCGCTTTGGGGCTTTCTCCACAGCTGCGTCTTTCTCCTTTGTCTCCTTGTCCTTCTCGGTCTTTTTGGGCTTGGATGCGCGTGTGCCCTTGGGGGCTTTCTCCCCCGTTTGGTCTTGCTTGTTGGCCCCCTTGGTCCTCTTGGCCCTGGCTGGAGTCTTGCTCTCTGCATCGGGTTTCTCTGCGTCTTTGCCATCTTCGGTGTCCATGTTCTTCTCACGTTGCTCCCGGCGAGTAACCATTGGAGCCTACAGGCATGAAGAAAGTGGGGACCCCATGTGATAAGGATACACAATATTTGGACCTGACAAAATTGGATAGTTTTTGACATTAAAAAATTGTATTTCTAGAATCTTCTGGCAGAAGAAAAGGGGCCATGCCTCCAACTTGTCCAAGCATAGCTCCTCCCTCGGCTGCGAAGGAGAAACGTCATGGTCATCCTCACCAGTCACTTGCGAGGATGGCAAAGGCTCCGGTGGGTCACTGGCGCCACTGGGCTGGTCATCGTTGGGCAGCTTGGTAGGAGACTCCTGATGGGTACAAATAAACCCCTTGGACATGTAAGGTAAGTTATGTGGTGACTGGGTTTACTTGGGCGTATGGTTGATTGTCATGATATCTGTTCCTATTTTATAAAGGAACAATCTAAGATATATTGCAGCATACTAGTAATTATGTATCTTATTGGAAAGTTTATTTTGAAAAATGTCTACCTTGAGGAACACTAGCACATGTCTTTTTTAAGATAACCCTCACGGCAAATGATTGATTGATGTTTTTTTTTCCCCACGATTGGCCTCAATTTCGATAGGTTCCTGTGACATAGGAACTGGCTCCCCAGGCTCATAGGGCAGGGTGTCCATGGTATCTGATGCAGCAGGTGCCACCGTACCTGGGATGCTGGCAGCTGAAATGGAGGTGCAGCTGCTTTCCATGTACATTCTGGGGTATTGCGCCCCAAGGAGTTCAAAACAAATTGTATCATCTTGGCAGAAACAAGTTGCCAAGATCTGCACTGCTCTGGCTTCGGACGAATCTCTCCCTGTCCACAATCCGCTGCCTGACAAAGATCAGGACCAGCATGGTTTAAGGAAACCCCATTGATAATTATTATACTTGTAATTACCCATAGATTGACTTTGATAGATTGATTTACATCATAGATTGATTTACATCATAGATTGATTTACATCCCCCTTGAATGAAAAACAATTTCCTTGTTTGAATTTTTGGATTGTTCCCGACCTGACATTGTTCAGCTGGGCTTCGAGCTGCGCCCTCTTCTTCTCCAAGAAGTCTGGCCCAGGTGCCGGTGGTGGTGGCATCAGGCTTGATGGCGCTGGCGTGAAGCTGCTGGGACCCCCAAACAAAGCAGGAAGGTTCCGATGGGCTGGATGTGGTGGAGGGCTCTCATCCTTCACATCTTCAGTGACACTGCTAGGGATCTCATCCTCCACATCAGAGAACAAGTAGGTCTCCTCTTCGATGGGCTGCGAATCTGGTTCCTCCAAGTATGGTGGTGGGGACAACAAGCTAGGATCCGCCTGGGAATCCATCACGGGCTGGCTGTCCTGCCAGGGCAAAAGCTACTTTAAAACAGGATCGTTGCTTTATTTTTACATTAAACATGATTTGTACTTTTGAAACCATGTTTGGTCCTCAACGGTCACAGGGTCTGGAGTCTGCTCCGGTTCGGTAGTTGCAACTGAAGCTGAGCCAAGACTGTCATGGTCAGCATGCTCACCATCATCAGGGAGGGTGTCCAACTCCGGATCATGATAGCCATCCCAAAGACTTCCATCCTCAGGTCCTTCGTTGGGCTCATACGGGCTGCCATCTTCGATGGCCAGGATCTCAGCGCGAGCAGCCATGAAAGCATCATTGCGGGCAGGTTCCTCATCATCTCTTCCCCATACAGCATCAAAGATGTCCCAAATGGGCTGCAAAGTAGGGTCCTTGGATAGGGGGAATGGAACAAACCCAAAATCATGATGTTTCTAATTTGATGCCAGGCCGATCCCAAAGTTTTACACTTCAAACTTGAACTTATTGCCGGAAAGATGCCCTTGGAGAAACGGTGCCCGAGAGCCAACGCCTTAACAGATGTGTGAAGCAACGCTTCATCCCCCAACTGTCAACGTAGACCTTGGACATGTCTTCATGATCCAATACCATCATGCGGCGCCATTCAACCACCTGATGGGACCGAAGGGCAAAATTTAGATCATCGCTCATAAAGGGAAGTTGGGTCAATGGTAGTTGGATAAAAATCATTTCAAAATTTTATCAGCCATTTTCCCAAAACAGGCATTACCCACGTTTTTTGGGGGATTGAAACATCTTTGGATTCCGGGGCCTCAGCACGCAGAAGGTCAATCCCAATAGCAGAAGGAAGGTCTTTGACCCTCACCCACCACAAAGCTAGGAGCTCCATCACCCGGCTGTTCAATGAACATGCCTTCATACTGGCAATCCCACAGACTTTAGGACAAGGCCAGCACATGATCACTCCATTGGATCTTGCCTTGTTTCGAACAATGCCATCCTCTTCCAACGCCCGAGCTAAGTGTCCGGTTTCCACCATGGTGCCGTTGAACTACAAATTGTTCCACCCCTTGAGCATTAACGACTTCCCTCTTGTGGTTGAAAGACAAACTCATAGCAACCAATTGGAACTTGTGCTGCACACACGTGTATTTATTACATAATATCTTTCCTGGTGCACTACCCTGACCCATCCCAATCCAGTCCTTCACCCATTGAATTTCCCATGTCTTGGCCATCACCACGTACCTGCTGAGGTTTTAACCCTGCAGCACTGGGCTGGTGATGGGCTGGCAACTGATCACCTTTGCAGAATCAATAGAATCAAAAGAAGTTGGGGCGCACTTGGGGATGTCGAGTTCGATGTGAAAGGAAGAAGAATCTCTGGAGCCAAAGTTGGCAGAGAATGGTTCCAAAATATGATTCAGATGAGTGAAATTCATCAAATCCACCAAAATCCAATTATCGCTCGAAAGCGAAAAATATTGTCACATTGGGAAATTTCAGGAAATTCCTGAAACAGCAATAAAAAAACATACATTGGAAGACGCAGGTATGTTCAGTATATGTTCCGTATATGTTCCGTATATGTTCCGTATATGTTCCGTATATGTTCCGTATATGTTCCGTATATGTTCCGTATATGTTCCGTATATGTTCCGTATATGTTCCGTATATGTTCCGTATATGGTCCGTAAATGTTCCGTATATGTTCCGTATATGTTCCGTATATGTTCCGTATATGTTCCGTATATGTTCCGTATATGTTCCGTATATGTTCCGTATATGTTCCGTATATGTTCCGTATATGTTCCGTATATGTTCCGTATATGTTCCGTATATGGTCCGTAAATGGTCCGTATATGTTCCGTATATGTTCCGTATATGTTCCGTATATGTTCCGTATATGTTCCGTATATGTTCCGTATATGTTCCGTATATGTTCCGTATATGTTCCGTATATGTTCCGTATATGTTCCGTATATGTTCCGTATATGTTCCGTATATGTTCCATATATGTTCCGTATATGTTCCGTATATGTTCCGTATATGTTCCGTATATGTTCCGTATATGTTCCGTATATGTTCCGTATATGTTCCGTAAATGTTCCGTATATGTTCCGTATATGTTCCGTATATGTTCCGTATATGTTCCGTATATGTTCCGTATATGTTCCGTATATGTTCCGTATATGTTCCGTATATGTTCCGTATATGTTCCGTATATGTTCCGTATATGTTCCGTATATGTTCCGTATATGTTCCATCTATGTTCCGTATATGTTCCGTATATGTTCCGTATATGTTCCGTATATGTTCCGTATATGTTCCGTATATGTTCCGTATATGTTCCGTATATGTTCCGTATATGTTCCGTATATGTTCCGTATATGTTCCGTATATGTTCCATATATGTTCCGTATATGTTCCGTATATGTTCCGTATATGTTCCGTATATGTTCCGTATATGTTCCGTATATGTTCCGTATATGTTCCGTATATGTTCCGTATATGTTCCGTATATGTTCCGTATATGTTCCGTATATGTTCCGTATATGTTCCGTATATGTTCCATATATGTTCCGTATATGTTCCGTATATGTTCCGTATATGTTCCGTATATGTTCCGTATATGTTCCGTATATGTTCCGTATATGTTCCGTATATGTTCCATATATGTTCCGTATCTGTTCCGTATATGTTCCGTATATGTTCCATATATGTTCCATATATGTTCCGTATCTGTTCCATATATGCTCCATATATGTTCCATATATGTTCCGTATCTGTTCCATATATGTTCCGTATCTGTTCCATATCTGTTCCATATCTGTTCCATATATGTTCCATATATGTTCCATATATGTTCCATATATGTTCAGAGGGGTTTTCTGGTCGGAGAAAAGATCTAAGGGAAATCATGGCCATAGACTTGACCTGACCTGCAGCTATGAATTCAGGTGAATTCTACGGATACTGTTCTGTAATTCCCAAGAATTGGATTCATTGGATTCTGAGTTGTGACAATTCCTCATGGTTTTCCATACTTTTCCTTGATTTTTCTAATATATGTTTGACCTTAGCCTGATGATAAGATTGCATGTAAATGTTGATGAAAGTAAGTGTAAAGATAGGAATGATTTTGGACTTGGGATGGTGTTCGACTTAGTTGTCCTGCTCGCAGCCATAGTCACTTAGTCACTTTGTGTGGAACATCCCCCAAACTAGTCAGCCAGGGGCCAGGGGCCAGTTGTGAATCCAGGGTTGCCATTGGAGTAGTAGTAACTATAATTTACTATCATCCACTTACCAACCATGTTTGATTTGACAAATTTTGAGCAGTATAGTAGTATAGCCCACTTTCCAAGTTGCTAGAACTACATGTGTGCAGTATGTGGGTATTTTTTGGTTTGGCTTGTTTTTTGTGCTTCTCATGTTGAAAGACCATGCGCAAGCTAAGATAGATGTGGAAAACCACTAGTTTCCCAGTCGAAAATGATCTACATTCATGGTGGGTTTTCCCATGTCCATCCCCTTGGCAAAAATGAAGCGCCACTCCAGAGGGGTGTGCTTCACGCATGCACGATGATGTAAGAGCTAGAAAAGACTTTCAACCTGTGGCGGAAAGGGCCCCCGATGCTTCAGTTGCTTGTCCAGTTTACATTTACCCTCACCATACATGGGATAAGATGGGACAAGATTGGTATATAACAAGAAAACATTCAGGTTTGAAGCCATGCATGATAGGTACGTTGCCTATGAACTAGGCCACGTGTTAGATGCATGGTGGCTACATCATGCTACATCCATAGTTGGACGAGGCTTCAATCCAGGTCTACTCGGACAGTGTAGCTCTTGTTGTCCTGGGCCAAACGTATCCAACCGTCCCCAACAATGTTAGGGACTGTTAGGCTTTATCAGGTCAACTCTTCACTCTGCACCACCACCACCACGACCACGGTTTTAGTTTGAGGACGCTGCAGTGCATCTCTTAGGCCCCAAAAGAGCCCAAACGTGGGGCATATCGGAAGATCTTCTTCAACATATATAGTTTTTGGGCCGCCCTTCCGTGACATGTTGAACAAACCTTAGAGAGTTGACTGGGTTTAGAAGATCCCGTGCGATGGCAGATATCTTCATCTAACCATGTCTCGGTCCTTCAAGGTGAGAGAACGTAGTCGCCATCGAAACATGGGTATAGTAACCTCCAAGAAGATACAACCGTATATAGAAGAGCAATTAGTCACATTTTTTACTGAGATTTCTGGGATTTCACGTCTATATCTGTTTCAATCTTTTTTAGTTGTTTTTTTCTCCTGTATGTTGCCCCCAAGTGTCACAGACATACTTGTATACTACGTGTTTCATGGATATGTCAAGCAAAGTGGTCTCGTTTTTGAGGTACCCTCCACGGTGCTGACTTGCATTTGGCCACTGATGCAGTCCAGCGCGCCTCGGCGATGATTTGGGTGTCACCCCGAAACCTAGGGAAAATATGGAAAAATCATGATAAACCATGGGATTTTGGTGGAAATCATCATAAACCATGGGATTTTGGGAAATCATCAGAAACCATGGGATTTTGGGGGAAATCATCATAAACCATGCGATTTTGGGGGAAATCATCATAAACCATGGGATTTTGGGGGAAATCATGATAAACCATGGGATTTTGAGGGAAATCATGATAAACCATGGGATTTTGGGGGAAATCATCATAAACCATGGGATTTTGGGGGAAATCATGATAAACCATGGGATTTTGGTGGTGGAAATCATCATAAACCATGGGATTTTGGGGGAAATCATGATAAACCATGGGATTTTGAGGGAAATCAGGATAAACCATGGGATTTTGGGGGAAATCATCAGAAAACATGGGATTTTGAGGGAAATCATGATGAACTATGATATATATATATATATATATATGTGTGTGTTTTTAACCGTTGCTTTTGACCACATCCTTTTTGCATGTTTCCCCAAGGTTTCCATAGACGGCCCAGGTGCGTTTTGAGGGGATCCGAGTCTCCGAACGCCTGGAGAAATTGAATCAGGTGGGAATCATAGGAGGCAATGAATGGCCGCAGATAGGAAATGGAAACCACGACAGAAACCATATAGGATATTATAGGATTCTTGGGCCCCAAATAAACTGAAAAAACACTTTTTGTTTCTGGGTTGGGAATCGTTCTCCGAGCTCTTCTCGTTCGGTTTCCGAACGGTTCCGTATCATGACTTTTTGCGGAAAGGTTGATCTCAAAGCGCTCAGACAGATGTATTACCACGCCCTTATCAATACATCCATATACATCCAATGTTGTCTTGTCCTATGAGGCTTTCGGATGGTAACTAGGCCAGTTCCATCCAGTTCCCATTCTACATGTAACATCATGGAACATCATGGAACATCATGATTCCACTGTACCGGCCACGATTTCCATTGAACCATCCCAAAAAACAGCACAATTAGGATGAGTTACCCTCTGGTTATTTAACATAGCCATGGAAAATCACCATTTTTAGTAGGTAAACCATCTATAAATGGGCCATTTTCCATGGCTATTTTCCATGGCTATGTTAAATAACCAGAGGGTATCTCTCACTCGGGGTAAGCCGCTTAAGCCTTGGTGAAGGGTCATTATTTTGACCTCTTGCCATGTACTGTAACACCAACAAGACAAACATGTAGGGTAGCGAAGATTGGCCATGAAGATTGGTAAGGTCAAACCCAGTCAAGGCGGTATTCTCGGGAAAATTAGTCAGGAAGCAATCCAGATATTGATAGCGTTTGTTTTTCGCTGGTGATTGGATATGAGCGGAGAATGTTCCATTGCTAGATTGAACTAGTTCGGAGCTATGACCATGTTTGGTGATTTATTTCCCTGCACCGTTGGAGGCTATCTATCTGTCAATCTAATCAAATCTAAGTTAATCCAATCCAATCCAATCTAAGCCAATCCGATCTAATCTATATAATCCAATCTAATCTATCTAAATGCCTACTATGGAGACGTTCGGAACTTAGGAACTTATAAGTTCGAAATAAGTTCGACGCTATGTAAGGGTTTTAGTAGGGCTTAGAAGCTAAGTTCAAGATAAGTTCATTGAATTTTTTGATAACTTATAAGGAACTTAGGAACTTATGTTGCATGACATCAAAAAAACCTAAAAGGAACTTAGGAACTTATGAAATCATTGTTTTTTTAACATATGACGTGAAACTTGATAAAAAATGATATAAAAAACAACATCTTATGTTGTTGCTGATGGTGAAAAAACGATGTTTTTGTAGTGTGCTAAAATCATCATAGAAGATGGCTCAAAAGTTGAAGAAAAACATAGAGGCTGCCCAAAATTTCTTGGCAGGCTTGCAGACGCTCTCGATTTTTCAGGAGATGCGCTTGAAACAAGTTATGGCTTTGGAGGTTCAAATTTCGAAAGCAGCTCAGCTGTCTACATCAGATGCGGCCAGCCTCTTGAGCATTTTGGATGAGGATCTTTGGGGAAGTCAGGCACCGCGCTTGAAAGAAGCTGTGGCGGCGAAGGTAGCAGCGTTGGAACCCAAGACCTCAGAATTTGCCGGGCGTCGTAAGAACCAAGATTACTTACAACTTCCGAACTATCTTACTGCTGATATTTGGGATCAGCTGAGGAGTTCGGAGTTGAATCCGTGCCGGAGGCTTGATGTAGTTTGCAGGCATGCAGCTGCGCTTGGATTGCGTTGTCCAAGTGAGAAGAGTATCGCTATGTTGTTGGCTTTGTCCCATGCGATGTATCAGGAGCCATATGAGGATGAGAAGCTGAATTTGGTGAATCAATATCGTGGCAGGATTGGCAAGCATATGGCTCTACCGGCTACGGCAGAGCATTTGCTGCAATTGCCTGCAAAACATGAAGAATTGCCTGCTAGTATTGCAGCCATTGCCTTCGCGAGCGGATGCAGGGTTGATGCACCGCCAAAGTTGCCGGATTTTCGTGCAATGGCGGAGTCATGGCCTGTGAGAACGCCTCGTGGCGGGAAAGAGTTTGATTCAGGAAGGATGGATGACAAAATTTCGCTGGAGCAAGTTGGATATATGATGAAAGGCGTGGCTCGGGCGCAGAGCGAGCAATTCCAGCGTGATAACTTTGAGTTGAAGCGATCGCAGTCTTTGTTGGCACTGGAAGACTGGAAGGATGACGAGGTTCGTCCGCCAGCTCCAGCGACAAAGGCTCCTGTGGGTGAAAGTGAAGGGGTCGACGCAGTAGCGGCAACACTCGCTGAGCTGCGCGATAAGACACGTTCTATACCAGCAGAAAAGGAAGAAGGGCCACAGATGAAGCGTCCGGCGGCGGTGTTGCGTCGACCAGCTGCGGCTCAGAAGAAGATCCTCCAGACGGACGCGGAGCCCGCTGGGCCCGCGCCGCTGGGGACTTCAGATGTGGAAAAGGAACTTGAGGCTTTGCAGCTGTGTAAGACAAAGCGACAGAAAAATGACCGCGTTTCTTCCAAGAAAGAAGTTGGAGAATATTCTATGTCTAAGGGACAGGAAGATGAGGAGCCTTCTTTGCTGTCCAATGGACGGAAGGAGGTCAAGGGAAAGCCTCTGGCCACTGTGTTGACTCCTACGTCTGTGGCGACGGGGATCACACGTGGCAGAGGGAAAGCCCAAGAAGAGGCCGGTGTCTAAGCAGCGGCCATCCTGCGCGTCTGTGATGGATTCCTCGCCCATGGGGCGGGAGCCACACAGCGCCGGTGCTGCGAGTCAATCTTCGGCGTCCTCTGAGCTGCAAAGGCAGGAGCCAAGATCAGCAGAGGCGCGCAAGAAGTCAGGACATGGAAAGACAATGAAACGTCCGGCTGCCAAGAAAGCAGCTCGAAGGCCTATGGGAACAGTGGCGGAGCGAGAAGCTAGACGCCGAGCGGTGCTGGCTATCGTGCCACGCGAGCTGCGCGAGCAGTTTCGTGATGGATGCGCTACGTGCCGAGGACGTGCATATTGCACTGTGAGCTGCTGGGCGAAGCGCGGCTTTATCGCATGAGTCCGGCATGGGTCACATGGGATGACATGACCTGGATTTTTTTGTGGCTTGGTTTAAAAAAGATGCTGCTTCTACATCAGATCTATATCACACATATATATATATATACACTACATATATATATATATGTATTTATATTGTTTTGTGTTATATACATATTGCAGCATATACGTAATATATATACACACACTATATATATATACTGTAAACACTTGTAAACCGCGACCTATATATCTAATTTCTGCAGCCGTTTTGGCTGAAGGGGTGGGGCGCATGTGCATTGCTGTTGGGCAAATGCCGAACGGACACCCATCAGTGGAAAGTGCGGATGGGAGCTCCAGCTCCGCGTCTGTGTCCGGGGGGAGCTCGACAGAAGAAGAAGAAGAAGTAGAAGTAATAGAAAATCCCCCTGACCGTGCGGCGGCCAACGCAAGTGCAAGGCCGCCGGAGCCACGCGGTAGCCCGCCGAAGAGCAGGGGACACGATAGCCCAGATGAGGGCTGGGAGCGGCCCGGCAAAGGCAGCGGGAAGCACACCAAGGGCCGCGGCAAAAGTGAGAGCAAGTGTGGCTTCTGCTGGAAAAGGGTCAAAGGTGGTCCTGCTGCCATGAAGCAACACGAATGGTGGAGTGAGACGTGCCTGGCCTGGCAGTTCCATCGTTCCGGATATGAGTGGCATAAGGCAAAGCGCATGGCTGCAGCTTTGAAGCGCCAGCGCATGGAAGAGGGTTCGGATTCATTTGCAGATGAGCCGGAGCCACCACGCGGAAGGGATAGGGAGAAAAAGACGAAAAAAGAAAGCCGCGTGGACAAGAGCTGGATCCCAGGTCCTTTTGCGCACAGCAAGAGACGCCAAAAGGACACGGTCAAGGGTGAGAAGAAAAAGACGAAAAAGTCTTTCAAGGAAAAGAAGGAGAAGAAGAAAGGACGCAAAGCGTCGGCCACCTCCAGCCGCAGCCCTGTCCGTGACAAGCGCCGTCGTCCGCCGAGCAGTGACAGCACTGATGGGCCCAAGAAAAAGGGTCGAGATGGCGCTGCAAAGCGCAATGCACCGCGCACTCTGGTGATTCGTCTGTGAGAAATGTGACGGTCACCATGTGCAAGCCATCAGCTCTGAGAAAGTTATAGCGTGCTGACTGGCATGGGCCCAGACGCTACAGCTGGTATGGGGGTTGAAGGCAACAAAAAAAGGTGCAAACAAATGAGAGAGGCCTCGCGCATTGTAGCTGGCGCGCAACTCCTTTCTTCTCTGATATTCGTTAAAGCACATACACACATATATATATGTTTATATATAGATACAACATGAGTTGTTAATGAATTTCAGAGAAGAATTGTATAGGTTAGTCAATGGCAACCGGTGAAGTAAATGATAAATGCATAAAGAAAAACAGAGATGTGTATATATACAGATATAAATAAATAATCTATTTTACTTCACTGGTTGCTGGTACAGAATGCTAACTGTCTGCGGCATTGCGACATGTGCTTGAGGAAAAAAAACGTTTGCCTAAAAATGGATGAATCGAGAATGTCAACAACCATGCTTCACAAACAAACCAATTTCGAGTAGCTGGTTCCATCCGCAGCCATTTCCGGGCTCATTTAGCAATATGGAGCAGGGGCGACTTGGCCACGATGATTTTGGCATATCCCCGGAGGGATTGCTGGCCGTTGCGGAAGCAATGGCAAATGTCTCTGCTGATAGCGAGGAGCATCACAGTGACATTTGGAACGGTGTGAAAGAAATGCTATACCACACCGCGGCGTTTGTGGATGCAGCCGGTACTGAAGAAGATGCCGTGGCTGTGTATCGCTTCCGTTCACTGCTGAAGGCCGCGTCAACTTGCAACGACGAGCGCGCGCTAAAGCTGCCGCAGCATCCAAAGTATGCAGACCAGCTCCTAATTCAATGCTGGGTTCCGGCTTTTGGAGATTCCTGGCAGCGTAGTCTCCGGTGGGCGTACGCATTGGCCACAGAGTTACGCTATGCTCGCAAGTATTTGGGAGTACTGGTCTGGCTCTTGTCCCGGGCGCCGGGCAGGACCAGGGAGAACACTTGGGCCAAACTCAGCTACAACTGGCTACTTCAGGCAGAAGCGGCCATGTTGCAAAAGCGACAAAATGGCTTGACCGCGTCTTGACCGCGTTTGACCGCGTTTGACCGCGGCTCCAGTGGGCTGACCGCGGTGACCGCGTGACCGCAGCAGAAAACATAGCTGAGCGCTATGAGTGGCCATGACCGCGTGACCGCGGGGTGCCTCTATAGCCTCATGACCGTGTGACCGCGTGTCCGCGGGGTCCTCCATTGATTGAAAAACAGCAAACGCACCTGACCGCGGACACACTTGCCTGCGACCAAAAAGTTGACTTTTGCTGAAGGGCCTTGACCGCGGGTTCCACCTCAAAAGTCATGTTTTTTGCATATATCTCATTTTGCGTTCCTCTTTTTTCCATACATTATGCACGCATCCCTTCTGCAGCCCTTTTCTGTTCAAGCGGTTCCAACAAATCCATTCACTTGTCACAGGCATGGCGGCCGCGGACTCGCAGGTAACTCAGCCGGAGATGCCAGAACAGATGAAGTGCTGGTTGTGTGCACAGTCCTTTGACGCAGGGCAAGGACGATTGCACGGCAAGAAGTTCCTGTGCGGCCTGTGCTCGAATGCGCACCGCACGATGAGACGCAACCTGGGAGGCTATCCGGAAGAGATGCAAACCTTTACGTCAGAAGAAATCTCAGATTTGTTCCGGACTTTGCACTCTAAGAAGCCAGCCGGTGGCGGCCTCAACTGGCAGACCATGAAGGCGGTGATGTGCACCAACATCGCCACCCGACAGATCGAACAGGCGAAAGACAAGGTGAAAGGTGAATGGCTGCCAGCGTCAGTGTGGGAAACGCGCGGGTGGGCGAAGGAAACCATTGAGCACCAGGATAACAAATGGAGTGACGAATACAACACACAAGTCTACAAGATTCGTATCACTTCTGAGACCTGGGCGCAAATCCATGAGAGAATCGCTGAGTCCCTGCTGCGGCAGGAACGCGACGCTACGAAGAAGCGTGGCAAGGAGGCAGAGGATCTGGACGTGCCCATGGCGTCGGTCCCAAAAGACGATAAGGACAAAAAGGGGCAGGTCGCTGCTGCGAAGAAGCAAGAGCGTGAGAATGAGAAGATCCACGCGCTTGCTGCCAGGGCAGTTGGCGCCTGGACCAAGATCTTGGGACAATGTGAGAAGATGGCTGATAAAGTGCACAGTACCGCAGCAATGCCGGCAGAGACCATGCAGACGTACGATGAACTCACCGCCAAGCTGCAGAAGAACATGACTGCTGCCCGCCAAGCCATCAATGGCTTTGAACAGAATAAAGGCAAGCCGGTGGAGGATATGGCAGCCTTGGCCGAGCTGCCATTCCAAGCTGCTGACGTCAAGATTGTGACGCAGCAGTCCGGTGTGATCTTGAAAGAGGTTCGCAAGGCATTTCCGAAGGCTGCCCCTAAGCGCAAAGCGCAGGAAGTGCCGGCCAACCAGGAAGCGCAGCCAAAGCGCCGGCGTGCGAAGACGAACCCGTAGATTTCGTGTGGTCATGATTGACCGTGGGTTTCCGCACAGTGTGAAAGCATTGTGCGAATAATTATCGGTGTATAGCGGTTGTCGTGTCTCACCGCGCTCACCGCTACAGGGGAACTTACGCCGACCAAATGATGGCTCGAGAAAAAAAAATCATTGCGTTTCATGAAAACCCATGTGTATTAACAAAGTAAATGTATATATATATATACTCTATATGTAATTGCGTATATGCTTCACATGCACACAATGCTTGTGTCTTTCTGCAAGTTTTTTGGTTCAAGGCAGGCACGCTGCATAAATCGCATATATGGGCCGCAACAGCAACAAGGCATTGGTTTGGGCACGCCAGGCACACAACCCTGGATTAGTGCGAATCAAAATTGACAAAGAAAATATAGGAGTCTTTCACGCATTGCCGTGTAGTCTCCTGAAAGCTTCCAAGAATGTTGACAAAGAAATGAGCATCGTGTCTCCGATGCTGATCCGAGAAGATGACAGGAAAACGCCTCTGTCTCATACATTGACCTTAGCGATGCAGAAACGCATCCCTGAAAAAATTGAAGAGCAGAGCATGGACGTGGAAATGCCAGCTCGTAATTAATTTCATTACAAAGTTTTTTGTGCATATGCGTTTCAAATGAAAGACCATGCAACGAGCGGTATGAGAAAAGAAAAAAACGATTCGTCTATTCAACAAAACTAAAATATATATCCCTATATGTATAATTTCATATTCGTTCAAGGAATGTAGCATTTGGCTCAAACATGAAAAGAAGACGCATTGATCCGCAAGATGCCCCTGCTGCGCAATTCAATGAATTGCAAAATATCCGTGGAATGACCAACAATGCTCGCAGAGAAGTGGTGGCAGCATACACTGCTACAACCACAGGACGCCAAGGAAGGATGGCTGCGGCCGCCACACAAGTATATAGCAACTCTCTTGAAGCTCTGCGATCCGTGACTTTGCCAGCTGCAGAAGACAATGGGAAAGGCATCCAAATATATTTCTTTTCACTTGCGGACCAACTGGCAGCAAAGGTCGACAGGTGCAAGCTCTTCTGTGAGTCGCTGCGCAGATGCAGAGATGCACTGGCAGACAACAAATTAGAATTAATTTGCTATGTCGACGAATGCACAGCGGGTAACGTGGTGCATCCGGATCCGCAACGCAAAGCCCACTTGCTTTACATCAGTTTTGTTCAGATGCCGCTTCTCAGTCGTGAAACTCAATGGCTGACCATGTCCGTCTTGCGAACGGCTGAGATGCAACGGGTCAAAGGCGGCATCGCCACTGCACTCCGTGTGATTTTGGAATGTTGGCACGATGAATGTGAGACCGGTATTGCTCTTGATCTTGGAAACGGGCCACGCATGCACTTCATTGCAAAAGTACTGCTGCTGGCAGACGCAGAAGGCTTACGAGCCCTGTCAGGGACCAAAGGATCATCCGGAACAAAGCCGTGCCTCAAATGCAGTAATGTACTTAGCCATGCTGCAGCTGAAACCGGCTGTCCGGATAATCATACTTCCTTAGCAGAATCATCTCATGCGGCACTGAAATCGCTGACACAAACCCGCCTAGATGCTATCCTGAGATATATGCAGACATTGCGGACAAAAAAAGCGATCGCAGAAGCGGAAACGTTGCTTGGGTGGAATCTAGAAGCTACGTTGTCCGGCTGCTCGCATCTGACAAACTCCGTGCGTGGCTGAACCTGTCCCACTGTCATTTCGATAGTATGCATATATATTTCACGAATGGAATGATTGGACAAGAACTGGGATATTGGTGGACAGCCATCCAAAAACAAACTAATGTTACGATACAAGATGTGCAGTCATACGTCAACGCCGGCTGGAACATTTCCACAGCGCGAGGTGGACTCACACTTGCTCAACTTCGCGCGTGCTTCAATGAGAAGCTCCTGAAGAAAGATGCAGACTACAGAGGGGACGCTGATCAAACCATGGCTGCGTTCCCGTTGCTGGTGCAATTCCAAGAAGAAATTTTGCGTGGACAAGTTGATGGCCTTGACAAAGAGTTTGACTCCTTGCTTGCGCTATCCGCGGTGGTGCACAAATTGCAAAAATGCAAAAGGGCAGGAGACTCAGTTGAAGGCCTGCTCCAGCTACAAGAAAAACATTTATGTGCCTTTCAAAAGGCCTATGACAAAACAAAAACAAGACCCAAACAACACTACTCGCTACATTTGGAAGAACAAGCCCGAATGTGGTCAGGACGTATTTTGGACACATTTACGCCTGAGCGCAAGCACCGCGTGTTCAAAAGCCAAGTAGCCCAGCTACAAACAAACCTCAATACCTTCTCAAAATCCACGCTTCTTCAATTGGGAGAACAAGAACTTCGAAACATTGGTAACCCACATGATCTCACGAGTACATTAGGACGCTCAAAGCCAATCGACCAATGGCTCGTGGATCATGTTCAAAAAATATTGTGCCAACCCCTTGAGGTCAGCTTACATATGACAAATGAAAAAGGAATGACCTTTACTGCAAAGCAGTTCCTCATTCTATCGCGCATAATGGCAGTGGAAATTCTTTGCTGCGCTCGTGCTGGTGATGACATGCATCTTGTGGTGCATGTCTTGCAACGTGCAACGAAAACCGACCAGCCACGTAACCCAGCTGCCAGCATTTGGTTCAAAACCAATGATAAAATTCGTGTCTTACCAGTGAAAACCTTGCAAAGTCAAGATGTTTTCCTGTTCCGCCACCAAAAAGTGGATCAAAACCTACAATTTACGTTCATTGCATGAAAAAAAGATATAAAAAACCGCAAAAAACACATCTTCATGAAAAGTTGCTCAAAAAACACCTCTTGAACTTAATTGAACTTAGCATCATCATAACATAGGCTAACATAAGTTCGATATAACTAACTTATAAGTTCCTAAGTTCCAAACGTCTCCATAGTATGGACCAAAGTTAGGGGGGGTCCTTTGGCCTTCTGCATATCCTTGCGTGAACAGTGAAATTTGACTGCCTCAAATCCAACCCGAGCCCTTGGGCTTGTCGTGTCAGGAGTTGGACGAGCGCCCAAGCGAAGTCCCTGCATTGGAGGTACAGTGAGCTGGAAAACGATGGAAAGCTCTGATTCTCTGCAGCCATATGATCTGAAAAAATGGTGGAAGCTTTCTGCACTAAGCAACTCCTAGCCGCCTAGCCGGGTGTTTTACGAACAAAGACCGGATCTTCTGAATCTTCTGTTAACAATCACTCCTGGTTTAGACTCAAGTGATGTTTTTTTTTCAAAAAAAAAGCAAGTTTGAGCCAACCAAGCGGTTGGATTTCGTCCAACAAGAAGCCCACAGAGATGCAGATGTCATGTGGATTTGAATACAGATCGTTTCCTAGAGAAGCCCGGGATTTCCCTTATATGGGATAGTATCTATCTGTATCATTATATCTATCTTGGTTTGCTCCAGCTATTAGCCATGCTTCCTTGATCAGGGATTGGCAGCGCCGCTGATATATCTTTTTGGTCTTTCCATGACAGGGCTGGAACCTTTGGACACCACTTGGAACCCTGCTCCGGATCCCGTCTCATTTGAGATGCCAGCAGATTATCGCATCAAACTTGAACTCTCCAAATAGGTACTGAGTCTTGCGAGCTTCCTAGCAAGACTCAGTAAGACCTTATCGAATTGGGGAGATGAGTATGTAGGATAATCCCATCCCCTTGATATGAAACACACCCTAAATGGTCCAAATTGTGGTGAAAATCCATGCCAAATCATGGTTTCTAGGGGCATTTGCTCGAGCCAGCTCGCCCTTAGAGCTGCCGTTCAACGCAGGCATACTCCCACGTTTTGGAGGCTGGGGGACCCCAAAATGGGCAAACCTTCGTTGGGTAAGTTGAGGTCTTTATGTGCTGCGCATGCTTGAATATATATGCAATATATTCTAATATTTTGTAAGTATATATGCGCACATGTGGTCATAGTATGTCATAGTTATATATCATATATCTGTAATAATATATATATATATATATTATATGTGTGTGTGCTTTTGCAGTCATACATCTAATCATATGTAAAAACACATTTATAATTTATAACTAACTGTATATAGTGATGTTTCAATCATTGCATCGTTTTGTATAACTATAATGAGTTCTATTTAGTTTTCGTTACTATATTATGATTATATTTATGTAATTATTTATTAATTTGTACTTTTGAACTATATGATTACATGTAACCTTATATAGTTTTGTATAGTTTCAACATTGCGTACGTATATGTATATTGATTTGTATTTTTATATACAGACACATGTATGCATCCATGTATATAAGGGTATAGGCAGCTATGCTTCTTGAACAGGGTATCTAAGACACCAAGATCGGGCATGAGCATGCACTGGGGGTGCGCCATTCTCGAGATTTCTTTGGGAGGTTGCCCAAGAAACCGTAGCATATAGGATTGGAGAACTGCACAGTTGCATACAGGAAAACATTCTTCCCCAGTAAATAATATTTAATAGGGGTCCTGTCATGTTCATCCATTTCTGTGTTTTGCTTGAAAAAACACGGGGCTTTCCAAACTTTTACCTTCAACCAAGCAGGACTATGCCAGTTTCGATACTTCCCTCAGGTTGCTGACCATGAAGAGCTGACTTTAGAGGTGCGTTGTGCCATCCAGTTGGCAGCTGAATCCTTGGAATCCAAACCACCACAACCGGCTGAGCCATTTCGGAGGATGTGGATCATTCGCCTTGCAATTCTGGGAGTCTAGGATCTGAAAGCATGTTTTGTTTTTTTTGCCAGGATTGTAACCGTATTGTGATCCTTGTGCATTGTACGCATATCCATGTCTATATATATATATATAATGTATATATATATATATATTTGTAAACTGTGGGGATACAATTATATATATATACATATGTATATATATATATATAAGTTACATTACGGTACATAAATACACACATATATATATAAATATACGCACAGGTGTGCATACATTGTGCTGCATCACGGCCAACCATTCAATCTACATTGACCCTCCCGAAATCCTTGCTTGTCTTCATTGGTATTTCTGGGTCCCCACCCCAGAGGGGGCCCTTCGGAATCTCAAGTTTGAACCAATATCCACATTTTGGGGAAGCGTTGATTTCGAAGGTTGATGCTTTTTTTAACTTGACAAGTTTGCAGAGGCATATGAGTTTTTGTCTTTTCTTCAACGCATCTAGGATTAGACAAACGCAATCATGTTATTCATGGGATATTATCCCCTTGTTTGTTGTTTACACAGTTTACACCCTTCATGTTCTGTCCCCATCTTTGGGAACATCGACTGATCAGCTCAACATCTAATTCTCTGTAGGGTATCCAAGATTTTTGGGCCATGCAAAAACACGTAAAATTCTTGGTTGATTTCTCGATATCCCCTTATGTTTGTGGCCAAGAAGCCTATTTTCAGACACGAACCCTATTTCGTTGGCTACATATAATCCTATCATATATGACCAGTTCGGCTTGGTTGATGCCCCCATGTTTTGTTGCCCAAACTCATGAAACAATCATCAAGTGTCGATCCGTTCGGGATGGTTACATGGTTTCGGTTATTTTTTGTTGGTTGAACCACCATTTTTTTATTTTTGTGTTGAACTCACCATGTTTGTTGCTTAAACCACCGTGTTTTCTTTAAAGTTACCCTCTGGTTATGACTAACAGAGCCATGTATAGATGGCCCATAGAAATAGATGGTTTACCTATTAAAAATGGTGATTTTCCATGGTCATGTTAGTCATAACCAGATGGTAAATCCCCAATTTCTGATGGTTCTTCCTAAGCGCCTAAGCGCAGGCATCTGTGGAACAGATTCAGGGGGCTCACCGTTTGCTGCGAACGTCTGGAGAGCCCAGGGGCTTGCGTGTTTCCAGTTTCCAAGTGGGGTAATCCTCCAAGGAATAACTTACTGGTGCTAAACGTAGGGAATTTTCGGGAATGATCCACTGGCTAACTATCAATAATCATCCCAGCAACCCCCAGCAACCCATCCATTCCCTACGTTTAGCACCAGTAAGTAAGGAATAATGAAGCCAGCAGTTGATGGTTTATTGCATCCATTGGTGGTAAATTTTGGGTTTCTTTTTGCTATTGCTGCACTAACATTACCAGCAAAATGATTTATTTTAAGGAACATGATGGCAACTGATTGGATTCGAGCTAGCCGATTTCCAGTCAAACCCAAATGATGCGGGTAGAACAAGTTAATGTGGAGGATTGTACTATGATCATACCATGACTATGTTGTGGTTAGCGGGGAGCCAAAGATCTTTGGGTATCCACATTCCGAATCATTCCCGATTCGGCATGCGGAGCCCAAGGAGCTACGAATAGTGCCAGTGGCCCCCCCAAGTGATGTTTCTTGGTTAACAAAAGCCCCAGTAACTATAGTTATAAGTACCATAAACCATAGTTATTGGAGTTATTTGCACCAACTTAGCTATCTTGGGGGCCTCACATTGTACGTATTTGGAAGGGAGCTTGAAACCAACTAGCCCATTGAACCAACACAGAGGCCAATGAATGGGAAATTGTTTCTTGACGCGTGGATTCATGTTGAGCAACAGCAACGATTATGCAGCAGATTTGCATAATTAATCTCAAGTATATATGAATATAGAAGATGCCCAGGAACTGTTGACAGTTAAACGATTTATGCTATCCACGTCGCAAAGATCGTTATTGAATAGTCATCGTGTTTTTCCCTTGCTGCCTGCAATATGCACATGCAAATTTGGTGAGGCAACTATCAATGATACCCTCTGGTAAACTAACATGACTATTGAAAATCACCGTTTAGTTTTGAACATGTAAATCAACTATTTCTATGGGCCATTTTCAATAGCTATGTTAAATTACCACGAGGATACTCTTCTCAAAGTTTCCCGTTTGCAGCACCCATTTAGCTTCCACAGTAACCAGTTCATTCATCTGCCAAGGCATGGCATTCGCCTATTGTTGGGGACCCGGCCTCTCTTCCACTTCTTGTGCTTTCACAAAGCCGTCCACAGCACATGTTGAATGACATACAACGACCAACACAGCACAGAGATATATGATGATGTGTATTATTGTGTATTATTGTGCATTCTTTATGTATAGAAACATGTGATGACATGTGTATGTATATATATATGCAGCATATGCGTGCATGTGATGTGTATACTGTCATTTTCACCCCCAATATAATATTGATCCGTGTTTTCTGAGATTCGCAACGAAGTCCGTTGGCTTGACGCAGCAGTAAATTCTCAAAAGTGTACCATGAAACCAAGATAGAAGATTCAGCTTTCCATGTTTTGCATCCCTTGATGATGTTCCTATCATCAGCCCAGTTCACAAAAAATAGTTGAGAGGTTGCGGACTTGGCTTTTCCATGAGGTCTGATGATCATGTGCTCCTTGAGCGCTTGCTGACGCAGTTGTTGGGGGCGCCTGGTGCAGGATTTGATGGGTCAAAATTTCTGGGCCCTACCGTATGGCAGCACAGATTGAAATGTATATGATTACTCTGATAACTGTATATGTTTAGTTTGTGTTACCCATCCAATTATTTGGCTTTGTCACATTGTCTGAAAAATTAGGAAAAACATCAAGATCCAACGGATGAGCATTGTCCTATTTCAAAGAACCATTCAGACATCGCCAAATGATGAGGATTTAACTGGTGGTCATGAGGGAGCGAACTGTCGCTATATTCATATTATTCCTTTTCAAATGGGGAGCCAAAGAGCTACGAATAGAGTTTCCTAATCACGTGACACTTCTAATTCATAACTCATAATGTCATAGGGATATAGATGGATAGTATGATATAGTATGATGTGGTTGTCATAACTCATCACGTTTTGGTTTTTTAAAAGGGATTTGGCGGTTTGTACAACCGCCGGAACTTCGGAACTTCACGGGGATTCCTGAGGATTGAACCAGCCATGTCTGACAAGGAGAAGCCGTAAATGGACTGTTAGGGGAAACATTGGGCATAGCTATAGCTAAAATATAACCATGATATAGTTATAGTATGTTATAGTGACTACAAGAAGTATACCTTCTGGCAATTTGTTGCATGGCTATGGAAAATCTCCGTTTACAGTTTTCATAGCCAATGCCAATCATCAAACTAAATGGGCCACTTCCATAGCTACGTTAAATTCCTAGCTAGAGAGAGAGAGAGAGAGAGAGGGAGGGAGGGAGAGAGAGAGAGAGAGAGAGAGGGGAGATATAGAGAGATAGAGAGAAACAGAGAGAAACAGAGAGAAACAGAGAGAAACAGAGAGAAACAGAGAGAAACAGAGAGAAACAGAGAGAAACAGAGAGAAACAGAGAGAAAGAGAGAGAAAGAGAGAGAAAGAGAGAGAAAGAGAGATGGAGAGATAGAGGGAGAGAGAGGGAGAGGGAGAGAGAGAGAGTCATAGTGTATCATACTTTGGTTGGTCTCACTGTCAGATGATTGAATGCCTCCTTTCAGCCATACCAATATACCATGGTGGTCTACACTGTTAAGAGCTCCTTCACTTGCGGATGGCTAGTTATCCCACCCCAACATCCACCTTTAACCTGCAATGAGCTGATGAAATACATGGCG